AGCGTTGTAAGTCCGCAGACATACCGCTGTGCCACGTGGGGGGGGGGGTCTACAAAGACTGAAACTTACAAAATCTTAAAAATTTACATCAAACAAATTGAAGGATGTGTTATTTTTATTAACTATTATGCTCATATATCTGAAGCTGAACATTGTTAGTAAGATACCTATACAGTGTAATCTATACTTAGATGAACCAGACATTCATGCATATTTAAATAATAATAATAACTCTACCGTATAAGTACAGTTGTATATTCCAAATATTTGTGCAGGAATACGATATTTCTATAGATATTTGTTTTGAATATTTATGCTTGGTTATATTGAATTAATCATTAAACAATTTTTCAAATAAATAATTTATGCGAACAATGGGTAACTAAATGATTGATTTCTGCACAATGCTAGGATAATAGGAAACTAAATTAACTACTTCAGTTTAACATTAAGATATAAATGTATACTGACTGAGCTGTCACAGTGCATATCTGAAGATATTTATTTCGACTTTTATTCGGGCATGTGATGGTAGAATTGTTTAGTCCATGATCTAGCAAATATTTTGTGACTGAATTTTATTACTTTAAACACATTGAAATGTAACAGTTCAGGCTCAGATAGAAAATCTTTTCTGTTTATAATAGTATATCTAACTGTAAACAACTTTCAATGACCAGTTTTAGTTGTTTGTTTTTTGTATTTATTGTTAATGGATAAATTAAAGACTACACGAGCTAGTTACCAAAATGTAATTAAAACTTGAGAATAGCTTTGATATACGGAAATATCTGTTAGCTGAGTTCTTGCACAGATCTTAAAATATAACGTTCATAAATGGATGTGTTATTTTAAGATCTGTGCAACAACTCAGCTAACAGATGTTTCCGTATATCAAAGCTATCTTCAAGTTTTGTACAAAGAAAAACCTTTTCAAGTAATTAAAATAGTAAAAAGTATTTTCTTGTGGTTATTTCCCTCCATGTTGGCTGAGCGGTAAGTAAGCTTGAGAGCTTGACGGTGGAGATCAGGGTTCGATCATTGCGGTGGGCAAATTATAGCTTTACGTTTAACAACAAATCAAATAAATCTGGGAATGTATGTTCAGAAATCTATTAATTTTTTTAGGTATTTCTTATTATAGGGAACAATTACTATACAGGTAAGCTGATTCGCAAAACAGGAGGATCGACAGGATTTGAATGACTTCTAAGGAAAGAAGCGACGCACTGACATTATTACAGGCTACAAAAACTTAAGTAAATCTAAAATAAACAAGTATACAGCTGAATAACACGTGAATGGAAACTTATATCTAATTGCTTTAACTGATTGAACTCAGAAAGAAAACGAAAAAGTAACACGTAATTTGATGAGTGCTATGTCTTCTCTACGTTGACTATTTGTTTTCATTTTCAAACTGGAACAATCTTTACAAACCCGAAAAGTGGAGATACCTCTAGTAGCTGGCCAATCACAAGCTGGCAAACTTAGTTTGTGATAACTCATTTTTACACGAGGCTGTCGGGTCGGCGTTGCTACTAAGATCACCAAAGCCAATCAAAAAAGAAGGAAGACTAGACTAGCAACAGCTATGGAGACAAAACGATAAACACCAGGATAAAGAGGTCTGATGGCTAAGATATACTGCGAGTCGCAAAATCGAATCCAGACAACGAACATGCCTGCTCTTTCAGTCGCAGGGGAGTTATAATGTGATGGTCAATCCCACTATTTGTGAGTAAAAGAAAATCACAAGAGATGGCGGCTGGTGCTGCCGATCGATTGCCTTTCTTCTGGTCAGCAGCTCAAAATTAGTGGCAGATAGTTCCACTATCTTTGCCACACACAAAGCATACACACATCCAGATTATATTCGCGAAAGATCAAAAATGGGCTTGCAGTTTAAACCAGAATCATAGTTAAAATAATAATTAAAAATAGAAACAACTGTTAATCTAAAACTAAATAAAAGTATGGTTTATAATTCTAACATATCACACTTTAACGTGTAAGATGCTGAGCAGTTTTACTCCCAAAACAGGAAACACGTGTAAAAAACAAAACATTCGAAATAATTTAAATTAGTTTGTAGAAACGAATCTGGTCTTTCACAAACCTAAATTATTTTCTCTTTGTATATATTTTACCATATAACTAGTTGTATAAAGACACAAACACATAACGACGAAGTCTGAACACTGCATTATCCCATATTCTTACATTATAAAATATTTTTGTGCGGTAATTCACGAACAAAAGAATTCACTATTGTTTTTGAATGTTATAAGTTGTGAATACACCTTCTTGTCTGTGCATACTTATTGTAATTTAAATCATTATGTATATACATGTATACTCTGATGGTCATTTAACGCACTGCTTTTTGACTTTCAGCTACAATAAATTAATGATTTGCCTATGAGGAAAAATAAAGGTACCAATACCTCATGTTTTCAAAAGTCAATATTTAAGCCATTATTAGTCACTTACTATTTTGTTTCTTGTTACTATTTTGTTACTATGAGGATGACGTTGTAACGTCGAAACATGTAGAGTCGTCAACTTTTTGAAGGCCATAGATAGGCCTAAATAAAATGTTTTTAATTGGGCACCAGTTTAACGTTGAATATTATTTATGATTTCATACTTGACTCTAATAGCAGTGGTGAGTCTGTTCTTATATACATATTGAATAACTTAGGTGAATAACGAAGTTTTTAAGAAAATGCAAACTTCAATGTTTTCATCGTATCCGTCTTCAGTGCTTCATAAACCTATTGATGTTGCTAATTTTCAACACAGATTTCCAATTATATGCACTAGAAATAGACATAGCTTAAACGTGTTAATTGTAGGTATGTAAATTGAGTGGTAACTGAGACGAGTAGTTTCTTGGCACATGGTCGTCAGTTTACACGGTAAGAATTATCTTTAATCAAAAGTATGACGGATGTCGTAGACAGAATGATGTAATTATTTCTGTTTTTGGTATTGTCAGGGAGCGAGAGTTCAAAAACTGTTGGTCTGAATGAAGAATGAGTGACATTAATTGTGTGTGTGTATGTGTTTGCACTGCAAAAACCATCTGAAAAAAACATTCACTAAAAGATGTCAATACCGAATTAAGTAGGGTTTCTCAGTTATGTTAAGTAAAAATGTAAAGGTATGGATGGAAGTATGAGGTTATAGGTCATACGTGTAACACTGAGTGTTATATAGAGCTAGACTTATACATCTTTGTATTTCCGGCTTAAGAGTTCATCATGTAAGGATGTGTGTTACATATAGATAATTCATGTCTCGTTGGATCGTGAAAATAATGTGATACATTATTTCTCTTTCACGAATAAAGCTGTCCTCGGGCTTCATTTCAGAGTCGTGAGTCGACCCTTAGTTGGGCGCAAATGTTTCTGTGATGAAAACCACAGCTTGGGACCCAGCCAGAGATCTCTTGTATACCAGGCGAGTACTCTACAAACTGAGTTAGTGTTAGTCCGCTATCTGTTGGTAGTAAAACACCCTTTTCAACAGCTCCAACTACCGGATGTTCATGCAGTAAATCTAACTTTCCCACAAACATAAGAGTCACGTAAGAAACCTACTTATATTGGCACAAAAAACAAGCTGTTAGAGCAAATAGCATACTAATTCCCATTCAAGAGGTACCCTAAAGCATTTCAAACACTTAAACGTACTGTGATGGATACATGAATAAACAGTTAAATTATTAATACGTCTTCAGCTTTTAATTTCATAGTAAATACTGATGTTCTATGGTTATGCATTAATAACATTTTCATTTCTGTTTATCTATTCGGGAGAGTTAGCACTAGAAAAGGTAAAATAGCACCGTTTTTTCATAAGATTCGTTAATCTTATTAGTATTCAATTTGAACTAGCAGTAAAACGCCATGAGGCCACCTGGTTCTTATTCTAGTAGCTACCTACCAGTCAAAGGAGTCCTGAAACAAGATATTACATCTCCAACTCTAGTTTTTCCAGTAAATATATGATTATGTGTAATATTCTGTACAACAGTAATAATACAATAAAATATTTAACTGCCAGTTTTCAGCTCACCATAAATCTTTAATACCTTCTCAGCCTTCACAGTGTGGTAAGATGGCGCTTCAGTAGAGACTTCGCAGCCGTAGGAACCCCCACTTTGAAGTTCAGTCTTTTGTAAATACACGTGAGTTTTGTTTGATTTCTGGAGCTGAAAGAAAAACTAAATTCATGACATGAAATTCATTTGTTACGTACACCTCTTGTTTCCTGAGTATTTAATAGCAGAAAACGTTACATTAAACTGTTCGAAACGTGCTAATTACACGTTCTTTGTCGGAATCTGACAAACAGAGCGAGCAGCTGTTGGATATTTCACGCACCTGTACTCTTCTATTAAAATTCGTATCCTGTACTCATTGAACTCTTAAAAAGACAACGTAATCCTTTTCCAGTTATCAAAGAAACATTGTGCAGTTTATGGTGGAATACGTTAATTTAAAGACTGAAGCACGATTTCAATAAATGTGAATATTGCCCTCTACACCTAACACATCAAACTAAATAAATCTAATGTATGTGTCTTAGGCATAAAGTAAAGTTATAGATAACAACTCATTACTCAGTAATGCGATTAAGATAACATAGCAAATAAACTATTACTGAGAGGTAGAAAAGCAAACAGTTTAAAAAACTTAAATTTCGTGATTGTGTATTTTCGAAATATTAACATTGAATAAATCCTTTCAACGATTATCTCCAGATGTCACTTTATCTCACTACGTCTCGTGGTTTCTTTCAATCAAGTCCTATAGAATCAAGATTGGACCCTCCCGTGCGTGTAGGGCTGTTTATCATTAATATTTCTATTTCTTTGTGTAATCTTCAGAAATGAACATCATAAATTGCTTTGTAGCCTTAACACTATGTGTAGTATCCCACAAGTTTATTGAAATATTTAAGACGTTATTACGGTAAGAGAGAAAACGACTATGGTTTTGGTACCTGGCATTATCTATCCTAATGGACTGGAACGGATAAAAGAATGGCATAATGTCCTTACTTCATAAAAGATCCTAATAATGTATATCATGCTCAGTTGGAGCTACTCTTACCCAAGGTACTCGTGTTGTTTACACAAAAGTCACGTACTAGCGTTGTCGTCTCAAACATCAAACACATTTAGTCTGCACATAAAAGTTAAATGCACTGGCACATTTATTACTTTTCTCTTTTTTTCTTTTACTTCTCCGCTTTAAAAAAAACTATATTATATTTCTCTTTTATGCCCCCACTGAGAGAAGTCCACTTTCTGCCATATTATATTCTTCTTTCACGTTCCTGTTGAAACAAGTCCACTTTCTGACATATTATATTCTATTTTTACGTTCCTGTTGTAACAAGTCCATTTTCTGGCATACCATATTCTTCTCTTACGTCCCTGTTGTAACACATTCGCTTTATGGCATACTATATTAACTTACGTCCCTGTCGTAACAAGTCTACTTTCTGCGATATTATATTATTTTAAGTCCCTGTTGCAACAAGTCCACTTTCCGCCATACTATATTATTATTTTAAGTTCCTGTTGCAACAAGTCCACTTTCCGCCATACTATATTATTATTTTAAGTTCCTGTTGCAACAAGTCCACTTTCCGCCATACTATATTATTATTTTAAGTTCCTGTTGCAACAAGTCCACTTTCCGCCATACTATATTATTATTTTAAGTTCCTGTTGTAAAAACAAGTCCACTTTCCGCCATACTATATTATTATTTTAAGTTCCTGTTGCAAACAAGTCCACTTTCCACCATACTATATTATTATTTTAAGTTCCTGTTGCAACAAGTCCACTTTCCGTCATACTCTATTATTATTTTAAGTTCCTGTTGCAACAAGTCCACTTTCTGCCATTTTATCTTTTTTTTCTACATTTATACCTCAGACAAACACACTTCATGTTTTATTTTCTTCTCTTACACCCCTGCTTTACACAAAATCATGTTATCCTTGCTACTTTCTTCTTTTTACCTCTCTCTGTACATTGTAGGTGACTACTTTTTGACACTTTGTACTTTATACGAGGCCATTTTATTCTTACCTGTATTTATTCCTTTTAAGCACTGTCTTGTATTATATTACGTTCCTAAATTTAGGGAAAAAACTTAGTGTTACATTTCTTCGTCTTATACCTCTGTGTTAAATAAGAGTATTTTGTGCCGTACTATCTTCTATTAAAGTAGCTGCTTTGTTTCACACATTCTTTTCTTTCTGGGCCAAGCGTGGCCCAATGGATAGCATGATTGACTGTGAATCTGAGAATACTTTTGTACTTTATAAGAGTGACGATGAAATCTCACTATTTGGTCTGACAAAACTATGAAAAGAATTTGTGGTGAATGGTGTTGACAACTTACCTTTCCTCTAATCTATCATGGATGGTGTTGACAAGTTACCTTTCCTCTAATCTATCATGGATGGTGTTGATAAGTTACCTTTCCTCTAGTCTATCATGGATGGTGTTGACAAGTTACCTTTCCTCTAGTTTATCATGGATGGTGTTGGCAAGTTACCATTCCTCTAGTCTATCATGGATGGTGTTGACAAGCTACCTTTCCTCTAGTTTATCATGGATGGTGTTGACAACTTACCTTTCCTCTAATTTATCATGGATGGTGTTGACAAGCTACCTTTCCTCTAGTTTATCATGGATGGTGTTGGCAAGTTACCTTTCTTCTAATTTATCATGGATGGTGTTGACAAGTTATCTTTCCTCTAGTTTATCATGGATGGTGTTGGCAAGTTACCTTTCTTCTAATTTATCATGGATGGTGTTGACAAGATACCTTTCCTCTAGTCTATCATGGATGGTGTTGACAAGTTACCTTTCTTCTAATTTATCATGGATGGTGTTGACAAGATACCTTTCCTCTAGTCTATCATGGATGGTGTTGACAAGTTACCTTTCTTCTAATTTATCATGGATGGTGTTGACAAGATACCTTTCCTCTA